AAAAAAGTCTAAGTAATTCAAAATTGATTATACGCGACATTATCTACTTAGAGGCCTTTTTGCAAAAAGTTGCATGCCAAGAGTACATTAGGTTTCCCTTTCTGCAGACAATCTGAGTCGATACGCAAGCTATACATTCAATCATGGATAGGATTATTACGAAAGGGAAATTGATAGTGGCACTCTTTGGACATTCCCATTATAACGCAATGATGCACTGCAGCATTATCAATTAGAGGATTGTTAATAGGGGCGGCTAAAATAGAGGTCTGAAGTGGAAATGAGCAATTTGCCACCTCATCTCTGTGATTTACGCTGCTTCGCGAATCGCTGGAGCATGTCAGAGGTGGCCGACAGAAGTTCGGGTGACACCGTCACCAACTCCGGAAGAACGTCGTGTCAGCCAAGACTGAGTAGGGGAAGAGAAGGAGAGCGCGAGGAGCGGGTGTGTCCATAACAGGGGACGGGGGCTCTCCATATCGCGTAAGTGGGGCTAAGCTAAGCATATTAATCGCCTCAAGCCGTGGTGTGTGTTCCACCTGAGGAGTGGCGACGTTGCCATCTATCCGCACAGCCAGCGGGCAGCAGCAGTCAGCCGCATCGATTAACGCTCTTATCGTCCTTGTTCGTGGGATCGTTCCCATAGATCGTACTCCTTGGAAAATTCTCTGAGAGCCTATCGGAACGAATCCTCAGCGTTAGCTCGAGCGGCCCGCTATCTCATAGGTCGCTATGGCCTGTGCCAGCATCAGCTATTCGGCGCTGAACTCCAATGGACAGTAAGTGGTTTTTTGAAATTTCCAAAGTTTTTGGTGGATTCTTGCAATCACGAAAATACTCTAGCTCAGGGAATAACTCCTCTAGAACACAGCAAATTGACTGAAAGCAGCTAATCTTTGAACAGCTAGGTAAATTAACAGGTAGACCAAAGGTGGAAGCGACCACCACTGGAGCAGCACCCACGGCCAGATCGGATATCAAAGATATAAGGGTCCCCAAGCGCCACATGCAATATGTATGGAGCCGAGGCGGGACGAACTCGTTGTGGATTAGGCGCGCCGCCCCACCAGTCCCCCGAACACAGCTGACATTTACCTTCCTTTTTGCGCTGCACATCGAAATCCGGCCCCCTCCCCAAAAGACTTCGCGAAATTGGCCCGTGTGAGCTGCACTTGATTCGCTGGGAGCAATGGCGATTGCCATTTCACAAGCAGTCCTAACACATCGTGCCTCCGTACAATTCGGAGTGCCCGGCACTGATATTCAGATGACATTCAAAAATTACAGGGTTACCGGCAATATGATCAGCGGGTAAGTCATATTCCTTATCTTTTTGAGTTCCGCAAGAAGTTATGCATGCCATGCTTTTGTTCAAGTGTTGTATTAACCCTAATTTGATTTTACTGTTTTTTT